AATACTTATGGTCAGTGAGTATGGAAAGATACTGTATAATTTAATTGAATAAATTATTCTCATTGGTAATTAGAGTAAGGATGGATAGTTGCTTTTTATTAATAGAATAAATTCAAGTGAAGTCAAAATGGAATTAAGAATCACTAGTGGACATTCTGCAATATATTTTATCTCAGATAGAATTCAAGAAGATAAGTTATCACATTTTGTTAATACATTTACTTTTAGTGGATATGAAGATACACGACCATTTCCTATTTTACTGACTATGAAGTATTTGATGCTCTGTGAAAAGAAATTCAACTTTACCATATCCAAAGATTTTTTCACAAATGTGTATAATAGAATGATCAACAGCAATGAGGATAAAATAGAAGTACTGACATACTTGTTTGAACAGAAGGATGATGAAGAGTTTGGAAAGTACTCAAAAGAAGTTACAAAACAAATATTAGATACAGTAGAATTAACAGATGCAGTCACACAAAAGATGTTCTCACCATTTTTACCCAATAACACACCATATATAGGATATAATGAATTTAATGTGTTTATAGAAGCATGTAAAACAAACTCTAATGCTTTGAAAGAGTATTGGGGGAAAGAGATATCCAAACTTAATTTAATTGATCTAGCAGAGTTACATAATTATAGTGATATATTTGGAGAAATACTAGAATATATGCCATGTGATACTTTGGAAGTATTGAAGATTGGGATTCAGAATTATGAAGAGGTATCGTTTGTAGTAAAATTGCTTGAAAAATCTACAAAGTTAAACTATTTGATATTAGGTTTATATAAGGATTTATATAAGGGTTTGAACGAGAAATGCCAAAACCTTATTGCAAATCTACTGGAACATATTAAAACTTTGAAGAAACTTAGATTATGGGTTGATTTCCCTACTAGCAGTTGGACCTTACCATTCTCTCAAGTATTAAAGAATTGTCAAGATCTTGAATCTCTCGATATTAGTAACAATAATATTGGAAATAAGCATGATACTTCATCTTATTTGTCACAATTTTTCAAAACTCTACAGGAAATGAAATCACTGAAAAAACTAAATATTCGTGGGAATGGACTTGGATTGGAGGGAACTGAAAAATTTGTAAAATCAATAGCAGAACTAAATATAGAGAGTTTAGACTATTCCTTAAATAAGCTTGATGAAAATAGAGCAGCATCAGTTTTTTCAGAATTATTATCAAAGATGCCTGAGTTGAAAACACTCTGTTTAGAGAAAAATGGCTTAAACGAATATCATATATTGTCTATATTTAAGGGAAGACAGCAAATTAACATATCAGAGCATATGGATCATGTTGATTCAGAAGAGCATATGATTTCCTCAGCTGGAAATAGTAGAGCATACAAAAATATAGAACATTTAAGTTTAGGATGTAATAACTTATCCTATGAATCTGTAAGAAATATTGACTATGATTTAAAATGGCCTCCTAAGTTAATAAGTTTAAAGTTAAATAATGACAGACATTATTTTATGGATATTATAGAGTTCTTTAATATGATTCATAAGTATAAAAGTATAGTTGATGTGAATATCAGAGGCTGGGGTTTTAACCAAGTAAGAGATGGAAAACTTATTGGTGAGCACTTTAGAATAAAGTCACTTGATATCTCAGACAGTTACTTTCATCGTGAAAATACTCAGCTAATCTGTAAAGTATTGAAAAATATGCCAGAATTGAAAATTCTGAAGTTTAACCTTTGTAGATTAAGCTCCGGAAGTATTATGGACATTTTAGATGCGATAAAAAGTCTAACAAATTTGACTAGTATAGATTTGGAAGGAAATAAGTTAAAATTGAATGATTTACCAATATTAACAGAAATTATTGGAAATAACAAGTCAATTGAAACACTAGATTTATCGGAGAATAAATTAGGAAGAGTGCTTAGTGTAATGGCCATGAAACCTGAAATGAGATTAGAAGTGATTCAAAATTTTGCGATGACACTTGAATCATCAAAATATTTAGTGGATTTAGATATGAGTAAGACAAAGTTTTATAATTCAGATTGGAGTATAATAATTAGATCGATTTTAAAAGTTTCTAATTTGAAGAAATTTAGAATTTCTTATGAAGATTTTGGATCAATGGATAAAGAAACTAGAGAAGTATTGAGTAAACTTAAAGATAAAGGAGTATCTGTCGATATTACACTACTGGATGATGATGAATGAACATGAATAAATTCTTAAACCAATGGTGATTTAAATTGTAATGAAGATATTTTTGAGTATTGTTGTAGTAATTAACTATTTGTCTTATTAATGTCTGCAGGCTTCTTAATCAAGACATTATTGCTATGTGTGACTCATTTTATACCATATACAACAAGTTATAATCCATATTGTATAAAATTAATATATTTAATTAATTTTCAGAATAAAACTTTTAATCCAGACTTTCTTATATAAACTAGCAGAATATTTTAACCCCATGTGGACAACTAAGAAGTTAAAAGAGAAATTCCAAGGGTTTTTTGAAAACAGAAACCATGTTACACTACCATCATCCTCAGTAGTACCAGACAATGATCCATCATTACTATTTACGAATAGTGGAATGGTTCAGTTCAAGAATATTTTTCTAGGAGAAAAGCCGAGACACACAAGGGTCAATACAAGCCAATATTGTATCAGAGCGGGTGGAAAGCATAATGATCTAGAAGATGTAGGCAAAGACAACTATCACCACACATGTTTTGAGATGCTGGGAAATTGGTCATTTGGAGATTATTTCAAGGAAGAGGCTATCAAGTATGCCTATGAATTTCTAATTGATGAGTTAAAGCTCAATAAGGAGAACT